TACAATTTACCTACTGATAGAAAAGTTTAATTTTCAGTATTTAAAGACATAGATACAAATAAGAAAAAAATTGAATTTAATTAAAAATGTACTTGAAGTAATGCATAGGTATTCATTAATTTAAATGTATACATTAGTACGGAAAAAATTGCTAATCAAAAATAGTAACAACTTGCTCTCATCGCCCCTCTATACAAAACATTTGTTAATAATGAGCTTGAAATTTGAAAAACAAATTTGAAAAATAAGATATATACGAAGGCTTGGTCACTGAGGTAATTTTTGTATAAGGGTAATTCAATGGCAATCCGTGATTTTGGACGAGATTTTGGATAATCCAAAGTAAATTTAAATAAGCTTTAGCGTAATCTTAAGTAATCTAATCAGAAATCTTAAGTAATCTAAGAATAATATCAAATAACCTGTAGATAATTCTAGATATTTTTAAAGTACTTACGTCTGCCTAGGAATTTCTCCCCCCGCCACTTAATTAAATCTTAATGAATGAATTATATAACAATGCGCTATGTGCTCACAAAATCCGTAAAAAGAATTTTTGCGCTCATTTCATTTAACAAAAAAGAATTTTTTGTGGGAGACCGAATAGGCTGTCAATCAGCTCCCTCACGTTAATAATAACCGATTTGGAAAATTAAATACACAAGATTTATACGCTATTTATGCGCTTTCATATTCACATAGTTTCAATTTTTGTGCTGCATTCCTTAAGGCATTTCCTTCTTGGAGCAAACAGTCATATTCATCCCTAAGGCCCGTTTTCATAACATATGGTTATCTAAAGACTAAAGATTACCAACAGATTCAATAAAATTCATTCATTTCTTGGTTATCTTTAATCTTTAGATAATCATATATTGTAAAATCGGGCCTAATTCGTTTAAAATTGCAAAATTACGCTATCTAACTATGCAAAATATACCATCGGTTTATGCGCTACTATTTCCAAGCAATTTTGATTTTTGTGTTGCAACTTAAGAGACTTCCCTCTTGGAAAAAATAGTAATATTCGTACCCAAGGCATTAAAAATTATGAAAATACATGCTTTAATTGTGCAAAGTATATTTTTCTTATTTATGCGCTATGAAATCCAAGCAATTGCGTTTAAAAAATCAGAGATGATGTAAAAAGATTTTGAAGCTGGTGTGCTTGATGAATACACCTAATATTCCAAAAAATGAAAAATACCCATTCGAATACATTTCATTTTTATTCATCAAGATTCGAATAAATATTTTTTCATTTCAGAATGAATATTTTTTAAATATGATTACAAATATTTTCACATTCACTTCTACTGTATATTTATTATTTGCAAACTGCACATAGCTTGCACAAATTCACATTTATGAAACAGGAATATGTTCTAACAAAGAGGCGTTGTTATTTTCAAATTATCAGCAAATAAGAAACATTGAAAATAATGATATTAGACATTTTACGGCAGCGAGCTTCCCATATAATCAGAAAATAAAAATTTATCTTATATATCTTTATGAATGTATTTGAATAAAATTAACAAATAGAATGAAAGTATTATCAATCCTATTTATTATATTTACCGATTTATTGCATCTTTGCACCTTTATCTTCTCCAAAATCCTTTACATCTCTGATTTTTTAATAGAAACACAACAATGCTTATTCATATCAATCATATATTAATACATAATCATGAATGAAAAATTTTTTACCAGGATTTAAAAGTAAATTATCTGTCCTACAACAGAAATTATCTTCTTATATTTTTTTGTTTTTAAAACAGTAATTTTCTATTAAAAAGCAGTGAAATTGTGTTTTAAAACAGAAAATTTGTTTCAAAACAATGAATTTGTGTTTTTAAAGCAGTAAATTTGTGTTTTATAACAAGCAATTCGTATTTAAAGCAGTGAATAATATCTATTACAATAAGAAATACAACGCATTCGCATGTAGTCATAAAGTATGAAAATATGACCTCATGTGCGTGCTCGCATTAGAGTATTTCGTGGCTGACAGATTTCCTAACCTGAATATACGTCAACTTTAACTTAAAATATTTCGGTTCACGAAGCAGAGTGATACTTTTTTCTTGTCAAATCTTAAATTAAATAAAGAATACAATCCGCAATTGCATTATCTTGTCAAGTGTTACCACGAAAAGAGTTAAGAAATAAACACTGAAGTGGCGCTGCTAGACCACGATATAATGTTAAAAACATGTAAAATGAAAAACATTTCCATAACAATAAAAGTAGCGTAGTATATACATAATAAATTTACCTTTTTCAAAAAAGTATAATAAAAAAAAAGGTAAGTGCGAGCTCCTCTCAGAAAAAAATCGTTGTATAAATTATATTATACGCGCTTGTATGTCCACTCCTCGAAGAAAAAAATTACTTTCTATTCCAAACCTATTCCAAATCTATTTTTCAAACTATGAAAATATATATAATAATTTTTTTTCAAAAAAATACGTTGATTTTAAATTGCACCAATTATAAATAGAAAATTATATTTCGTTGAAACAATAATATTATATAACTATTTTTAAACAAAAATACATGAAAATAAGAGAATCTAATTGGAATCGTGACGTTAAAGGAGAGAAATGACATGTTAATTTTTATTACATGCTATTTATAAATAAAGACAATTTGGATAAAACAAAATGATGAGATTATTTTAAAACATTTGTAAATATGAAAACGAAAACTATGCTTATCCTCTATTTTTTATTCATTTATATACAAGAGTATTTAAAATTACATTTTCTGATTAGATTACTTGAGATTTTTCAAATTTACTTTGCTCATCTAAGATTATCTTGTACGAGTACGTAAAGTATTAGATATGGGAAAAAGTTCGTGGCATTTTTTTAATGCCATCTAATGGGAAAAACGCCACGAACTTTTTCCCACACCTAATATTATTTCTTCAGATCGTTCTAAAATATCTTTATAGATCACTTCGATAAGTATCTTCGAGAACATTTTAGATTTTCATTGCTTAAGAAAAAAAATGCAATTTTACAAAAGAAATATTTATTGTATGGAGGAACATAAAAACATAAAAATATAAAAATATAAAAATCTTTTGTTATTTTTTCCGTGTTCCTTACTAAAAGTGCTGTCAGAAATAACTTTTATTTTGAGAAGCCACAGTCATTGTAATCACTCCTATAAAATGTATTTATCTCCACAATTATTCATCAAATATTATTTATACAAAGTTTAATAAAAAAACGATTTTTAGAGAATTTTTGTAGAGAAACAAAACGATTGTCGATTTGATAATAAATACTTTTTACGTAGGAGTAGCCGAATCCAAGATATTTATATAAAACATTAAAAAATTAGTTTATTCAAAAATAAAAGAAAATATTCTTAAAATCGAATCTCGAAAAATATTGATCGTATGAGAATGAATAAAAAACGATTTTGTAAAGAATTTAATAATCTTCTATCTTTGTAAGAATTATTTTGTACATAAAAATAGCTAAATCTGAGATGATATTTATTTAAAAAATCCAATTATCGAAATGATAAGTACAATATTCTTAAAAAAATTCTATCATAGAAAGTATTAATCGTACGATTTTAAAAATAAACGAAATTGTTCCTAATTCCTAATTTTATCAACTTCCCTTTTGATAATAATTTTTATTATTTGATAATTTTTATTCTGATAAAATGAATACCTTCTGAGATATTTTTGAAAATCGCATTTTTAATCAGTTTTTTGAAGCTGGAAAGTTTTCCAAGTTCGTTAACACTCAGACATTTAATAAATAATATTAATTAATTATAAATAATATTAATTATATATAAATTAATTAATTATAAATAATTATTGATAATATTAATTGTAAATATAATATCAATAATTATATACACTTATATAATATCAATAATTATATAACATTTCGAACAAATTCCTGCAAACATACCTTTTTGGAGGTAATTTTGCCTCCAAAAAATTTAATATTCCTGGGCTAAGTACGTATATCTAGATAAATTTTCTGTTTTTTATTTAATGGAAGAGATATTATATTAGAATAGATGAATTGTACAATTCAAAATTTGATTTTAAGTAATTTTTAATTAATTTCTGATTAATATATCAAAGTACGTAAAAATTAAAATTTCGGGAATTGAATAGATAGAAATGGATCGTATGCTCATTGCTGAATCCAAAATTCGGATTTTTCGTACACTAGATACCTCTGACTTTGTTTATTATTTCTATTTCCACTCTGCTACAATGTATATATACAAAACATTGGTATTGACTTTCGTATTGATGTTCTTTCGAGGGTATATAATAGATACAGAACAAGAAGAAGTGTCGGTTAGAGTGCTGATTAAAACTGTATCCATTGGAAAAAAAGATGGAACATATAAAAATCTTATTTTGAATTCTCCGATCGTATCGTATTGTGTCTATAATTTCTAGTTTTCTGCACGGCGATATAATGTCAGAGGCAGAGCGTACAACCGAAGGCAAACCTGATGTTGAATATCTGGACTCGCCTGATAAATCAGAGTATGATAAGGCTGAATATAGGTGAGACTGGGGGCTCAGCAAAAAATGTGATTTCAAAAGAAATATGCGTGAGACATATTATTAACTGCGATGATAATCTTTTAAGAAAAATGATACAATGTACTTTCTACAAAAAAAAATTAAGTGTTTTTATATGATCCTCAGTAATTTCTTATTTCATTATTATTTGTTTTGCTTCTCAAATTTAGAGTCATTAGACTACAAAATGGTTTAACAGCTTTGTTAATATCTGATCTGGGAGGAGCGCATTATGACGATATGAGTTGCAAAGATTATGAAGAAGGTAGTTCTTCAACTAAACGAGTTAAAAGAGACGTATGGAAGGTAAACAACACAATTCAGTTAGCACTTTTGGTTATTTTTAGCGTATTATTTTTTACATAATCTGTTATTAAAAAACTTATTAAGATAATAATATATGAGATGGACTTATAAAATCAATCAAAAAAAGTCTATCTCTTCAAAAATGCGTTCAGAAGCGCATCATTAGCGCAATTGTGTCGATCCATCTTTATCGCTCGTCAGACGTGAAAGAATAAAGTGTCGCAATGACACTAATAATATATTCATCCAGTAATGCTTGATATCGAATGCGTTCCGTTATGCATGATGTATCATTTTATCTTTCTTTATTATTTTATTGAACAACAAGGACAAATGATGCAACTTGCGCCTGATAATGGATGCATAATTCCAAAACACCATTATCAGGAGTCCTTGAAAAAACGTAAACTTCTCTATTATCTGTAAATGAGTGTTCATGGATTTGTTTCGAAATGTATAAACTGTTCACGGGTCATCTCATTACTGTTTGTCCTTAATATGTCAATTTAACATTTTGTATGCAACGCAAGATAAAAATAGGTATATATATTTTTTAAACTCAGGCATTTTGTGGCTTATGTGTGGGAGTAGGCAGTTTTAGTGATCCACCGGAAGTTCCAGGCCTGGCACATTTCCTTCAGCGCGTGGTTTTCATGGGATCCAAAAAATATCCAAAAGTATTAAAATACAATAAGTAAATTTACAAACAATAAGTAAATTTATTATTATTTTCCAAAAGTATTAAAATACAATAAGTAAATTTATTATAAAATACACTTTATGTAAATTTAAATGTTTAATTATTATTATATTTGTAGGAAAATGATTTTAATGAATTTATCAGTCTCCATGGTGGCACTACTAATGGCGCAACGGATTGCGAGCATACAAGATTTTACTTTGATATCTCAGAAAAACATTTGTTTGCAGCTCTTGATCGTTTTGTTCAATTTTTTATTGAACCCTTGATGAAGAAAGATGTTATCGCGAGGGAGCGAGAGATCATACAAGGAGGTATGTAAATTATAAATAATTTTGTTGCTAAAACTTGCGATTTTTTAATGTTCTATGTTCACATAGAGTTTCAGTGGGGTTTATATTGCGATAAAAATAGAAAGGAACAAATATTGTCTTTTATTGCTCGAACTGGTCATCCATCCAGTAAGTTTCTTCGACGCACTTCAATAGCATTACACAATGATATAGATGATGACAAGTTATATGAAGAGCTGCACAAATTCAGAGAGCGCCATTATAGCGCTCATAGAATGATGCTAGCTATACAGGTAATTATTATATGTTAAAATTGCGATAAACAATTGATTTTTTATTAAATGTAGTTAATTCATAACATGATACGTACATACGTTTATAGGCGAGATTACCGTTAGATACATTGAAAACGTATGTCATAACCTGCTTTGGTAATATACTAAGTAATTGGTTGCCTTCCGATAACTTTACTGAATTTAGAGAAGGCATTTCTTTTGATACAGTCGCTTTCAAAAAAATGTATAAAGTTAAACCCGTCAAAGATATCAGTCAAGTATGTAATTTATACACGCATATTAAAAAAAAACTGTGTGTACTGAAATGCATATAAAAATAAAATTCTTTTACAGCTACATGTAACATGGGCTTTGCCTTCAATACTTAATTTATACAGAAGTAAACCATATAAATATATTTCATTGATTATTGAGCATAAAGGAAATGGATCTTTAACTCATTACCTACGTAAAAAAATGTGGGCCCTTAATTTGTTCTGTGGTAACTGTGATAATGATAATAGTTTCGGATACAATTCTATGTATGCTTTATTCGAGATTATAGTAGAACTCACCCAGGAGGGACTAAAACATCAGCAAGATATTCTAGAAGCAATATTTTCCTTTATAAAATTAGTAAAAAGAATGGGTCCTCAAGAAAGTATTTATAATGAGATTTATAAGATTAGAAACGATAACTTTAGGTAATTCAATTTAGAAATAAATTGATGTGTAGAAAAGAAAAATATTATTAAAATATATATAAGATGCCACTTATACTTGAGAGCTTTTTTTAGATATTTTAGTAAGCACGATGTGTTTGATTTATGTAAGAATATGCATTTCTATACGTCGCGTGATTATATAACTGGAAAGCATAATTATTTCGAGTATAACCCAGAAGCAATACAAAAATGTTTAGATTTTTTGGTGCCAGAGACGGCGAATATCATAGTTTTCAACAATGATTTTGCATTAAATATAGTCGAGCCGTATTTCAAAATTAATTATACAGATATCGCGTTACAAAAGGACTGGAAATTTATCAAGCCATTGACTTATTTCCGTTTACCATCACGCAATGAATTCCTTACCAATAATTTCTCTACCATACCGATATCAGCAGAAACTTCGAAATATCCCGTAAAAATACACCAAGATCTTATATCGGAGATTTGGTGTTGCCCAAAGTTTTATTGGCCGATGTGTTATATAAATCTTCATATAATTCTTCCTCAAATGTTCCTAACATCAAACACGTAAGTAATAACCTGGACATATAACAGTTATACATTATAGTAGTACTATCACGGTTGATATCTTGACCCTACATACGTATACAATAATATCTAACTTGTAATTATCACGTGTTATGATTTTTGACAAAATAATTTATTATTAAACAAAAAAACAAATTCATATTAATAACATTTCAGTGCTATTCTCTTGGATATGTACTGCACTGTATTAAAATATCTATTGAATGAAAAATTACATTCGGCTGTAACGGCTGGATTTAATTATACTATCAATGTCAGTAAGGAAACTATAGGTATTATAATACAATTGAGCGGTTTTGACGAAAAACTGTCAGTAAGTATACGTTTAAAACGTGTTGATCGAGTTATACATATAATTTGGAACTACATAAATATTTTATTTATATTGCAGACCTTGTTGATGATTATTGCAAACGATATGGTGCATTTAGGAGAATTTGTTTCGAAGGATTTATTTGAAATTATTAAAACGCATCAGCTCAAGACATATTACAACAAATTTTTGAAACCTGAGGAATTCATCGAGTATTATTTATTGTCAAATATAATTGCAACAATTATAAAATTCTTATATAACTAGAAAAAACAATTAATGAAGAACATTAATTATAACAATTAATGTTATAAAATGAATTATATTTATTTCTTATGTCATTTCCGATTAATAACATATATCACATATTATTTTCGTAGGAATGTGGAATTATGGATACTGAAGTACCCCTACTATCCACACGTTCACAAGTATAATTACCTAAATAAATTAATTAATTTTAAAAACTTCCAAAGCTATGCAATGTTGTTCACCAATACTCTGTACTTTCAATGTCTTGTGCAAGGCAACGTAACAAAAGATTTTACGATCAAAATTATACAACGATTTATCAACAAAATTAATTGTCGTCCCTTGCGTAATACTAATAAGCTAGAGCCTATTGGAATCACTAAAATACCCCAAGGCACATCTTACTACAAGTTGAAAAATATTAATCGAACTAATGTAAACTCAGTAGTGACAAATTATTATCAAGTTGATATTGCTACAATTGAATTATCAGTGTTAATCCAATTGATGCTCGTAAGTATTTAACATTGTTTTATATATTTAAATACATGAAATCTTCAATTTATATTTAATTTTAATAGTAAATAAAATGTGAATAACATTTCCGATTACCGATGATTGGTTTATTTGCACATCACATTCATCTGTTAAATGATCTTTTAGATGATAATAAAAGAACCATTAATGAATCATCTACGAACTCAAGAAAAGCTTAGTTATGTTTCGTGCAATCTTAAAGATATCAACGGAATGTTAGGATATTCTATTACTGTTTATACTCAGACAAATAAGTACCCAACCGAATATATTGATCTAGTGATCGAGAGATTTCTGAATTCGTTCAAAATCATATTGGAACAGTTTTCAGAAAAAAAATTAGATGATATCAAAGAAGGGCTGAGAATTTTAAAGCAACATGATGCCGAGATTCTTAAAAACGAAATTAACAGAAATTGGAGTGAGATCACAAAGCGGCAATTTATGTTTGACAGATGTGAAAAGGAAGCGCTTGCAATAGAGAATCTAAATATCAATAAGCTAAGAGAATGGTTTGGAAGACATACACTAAACGGAAATAATTTCAGAAAATTGAGCATACATGTGGTAGGAATTGATCCGAAGGAAATTGCTGTCAGTAAGCAGATATTTTTTCTGATTGAATTTTGATCATTGTCTAAATATTTCTTTTTGTACTATAATATCTTCTTTGCCTTCCATTTCTTTCTTGTCACATTAAGTTGAAATTGCTAAGATTAAAAATTAAAATTTTTAAAATTAATTGTTGTAGATGCAGAGAATCGTCGGCATAATGAGTACTTTCTTACGGAATTTATAATTGACGATTCACAGCACAAAATTGTTCATATTACTGACATAAATAAGTACAAAAATAATCGCCTCGTCTATCCATATAATAACTGATGAGATTAATCCTGTCATTCTTAAAGCATTTAATAAGATATTTAAATAATAATGATACAATAATGATAAAATTGTGAATATTAATATTTAAAACTTCTTGTCATTTTAATTTATTATGTCAATTATATTCAATTTTATAGATTTATTATATTATTCATTTTATTACATTTTACACTTTTATTAGCAAATTACTTAGTATGTTTTCTAATTTTTTCTATTTAATATTTGGATTTGTTGCAATAATTCACGTTTTTGTTTAATTTATTTACAAAAAGTGCATTACACATATACAATATATACGATATACACATATAAAATATATTCTTTAATTTATTTACAATGATGCCGTTTGATTGCTATCATCGCTTATATTTTGTTATGAAATATTTCGATATATGTTATAATTTTTTTCCTGATATGGAAATTGCTTTCTTGTTTGTTCAATTAGCTATATCGTCCATTGGCTCATTTACTATAGAATTGCAATACGTAAAATTAGAGAACTATTACTATATTAAAGTATATGTAGATTGTAAATGTAGATTTGCAGCGCTGGAATTTTTATTTTTGATAATCCTATATCAATAAATTTACTAATATTTATTTTTTTAATTGATTTTTTAAATTTAAGAGATTTGTTATTAGAAATGTTATTAAGTAAATTAATTTATAAATTTTAACTAACATAAAGGACTCTTAATGACAAAATATAATATGACAATAAAAAAAGACATGTAAGAGTCGATCATAAAATCATACAATATAACGAATTATTATATAAAATATATTAAGCTCTAAAATTCAAATATAAATGAAAATTATATATAAAATTGATTTTACATGTTTCGACTTTCTGATTGAGCCATCTTCAGATATTCGATTAAACGCTGTAGTATAATGTAGTTAGAAACGCAATGATACATATAAACAAATAGTGAACAACCATTAAATAAGGCTAGAATGTTTTATCGAGAGAAATTGTTCGCAAATAGTTAAACGACCGATTGTGGAAAATTTCTTGATGTTTTATAACCAAATTTAAAAAAAAATTAATTAGAGTACATCAATAAAATAAGCAAATCGTCACTTTAATAAAAGACTCGACGTTAAGGTTTTATCATTGTGTATCGCATAATGTTAAGATGCTCGTCCATTATTTTTTTCATCAGTGAGATTATGTATAAATATTGTTAAAACAGAGTCATTAGAGAGTTATGTCATAATAATATCGAATATAAATCTTGATTAAGAAATTAAAATTAAAATTGTATAATTGGTACGACAGATAAACACTGACTGAGAGAAAAATAATGAAAAATAATCAAGATACAGCAAAGTCAAATTTTGGTTATGACGAGTATATATATATGATTTGTGAAGGCCCTCTGTGTTGGTTTGAAGATTAAGATTCTCTGTGTTGATTTGAAGATTAAGATCATTTTTCTATTTTTTAATGTTCAACATCTCTGAGATTAAACGTTTATTATAAACTTCTTCTTCATCTAGAATTTTTGTATTGTTCCAAAGTCGTGTCTATGTATATATATATATATTCTGTTATTACAGAACGGGCAGACGTGTTCTATTTAGTAGTGATTATGGTGTTTTGTAATTTTTGTTTTTAAAATGTCTGCCCACCTATCCCACATATGATGCACATCACAATTGTTGCAATTTATCTTATAAACTATATTGCTTTTGATTACAATTGGGGGCAAGGATCTTTTATATATTTTTGTAGTTTATTTGCACTATAAAATAAAACTTTGATTTCGTTTTTGTTAAATTGTTTAAATTTCTCTGTTAAAGTTGGAATGTACGATACAATGAATCTTGACGGAACAACATTTAAATTTCCATTATTTTTGGATTGATCTAGTCACTGTTTTTCTTAGGAGATTGATTCTGTTGTTGATTGTGTCAAAGATAAATTTTAGCGGATAGTCATTCTCTATTAGTATAAATTAATTATAAGTGTCAAATTTTTTGCATGATATTCACAATTTGACAGTAAGAATATTCTGTCAGTCAAACTGATGATTAAATTGTGCATCTTTTTTGGGAGACCAGATGGTTAGAGAAGAAGTTCAAGAATCTACCTAAAAAACTAGATTTGTGATAATTAATTTATCAATGAAAATTAATTTATCATGATACTTTAAAAAATTTAATGATTCATTTCTAATTTCTACGATAAATTGGAGATGAAGATGAAATGGAGTTAAAACATTTAAGTATATAGTCAATTTTTGGTGATGGAACAACAGCACATAAATCGTCGATATATCTATATAAAATAATACTTGATGATCATTGATCATTGACAAATTGATCAAAGCCATTCTCTCCACTCTTTGCAGCACCAGATCAGCAATGACGGAGAGTCTATGTGTGCTAAAATTCTGTTTATAAATAGTGTTTTTTACATTTAAAAATGAAAGAGAGGAGTTCGATAGAGCACATACAGTCAGTCACAGAAAGGTTACAATACTTTTCTTTTATGTTTCGAAATACAGTTTGCTGTCCGAGCTTCTCCGAACTTGGTTCTTATTTATGGATCTAATCATTTACGTTCAACCGCTCTATGAGCAATGCAAGTTCCGAAACCTAAAAAAAAAGTATTGCAACCTTTCTATGACTGGCTGTTCATCGCCAATTTAAAATAAAATATTCTCATTAGTAAAACAGTGAAAAATTGTTAGACACCAACCAATGTGAATGGATGCGTGCTATCAAGATGTCAACTAACAGGATCCTCTCAAAATGAAATAATTAATAAAAAATTTCGAGAGTTGAAGAAGTATTGAACCTCCAAAATCCTACTGGATACGTTTATGTTACTAATGTAGATAATTACAAAAAAAGTTGCGTTATATATGATTAGTAAGGAGATTAATCCTGTCATTCTTAAAACGTTTAATAAGTAATACTTAAACAATAATAGTACAATAATGATGAAATTATATGAATATTGTCATTTCAAACTTCTTGTTATTTTAATTTATGACATTAATTATATTCGATTTCATAATATTATTATATTGTCTATTTTATTACATTTTACACTTATTCCGTGTGGAAATTGAATCTATAGTTCTAATCTATAGGCTGACTAGTTATGCATTAGTAAAGTTGCGTTATACATCATCACTATTTAGTTTTTCTAAGTAGTAACGAACTAGTAATGTAACACTCTTTTTTAGCGACTATGTTTAAAAAATCAGCTAATGACTAGATAAAAAAAGTTGTAAGTGATAACACATTAGAAAAAATTTTCTAAATACTATATAGCACCTATCTAGGGGCTCCGCACAATAAAAGGAACACAACAGAGAACAGAGAATAAGAACCTACCAACCTATCAGAAAGCGAAATGTGATGATGATAACGTATCTGAATCCGAAAAGTTACAGATCCGGACTTTACGTCGTAAATTATATCTCTTATGTTAAGAGATATAATTATATAAATTATATCTCTTATATTAAGGTACGTATATGATAGAAAGAATAAAAACATGTATAATACAATTGGAATGTAAGTCAATTAAGTGTACTTAAAATTCGATCGTTAGATCCGATAATCTCAATCTGGTATCAATTATGAAACTTTATCCCTAAGGAAAGTGAAAAGTAAAAAATTTCTTCATTAATTTCAATGGTAAAAATTTTCACTTTTCACTTTCCATCTTAGGGATAAAGTTTCATGATTGATATCTTGCAACTTGCCGGCTCGCGTATAAAGGAGGAATATAGACATAATATCTCTAGACCAAGCATTCGAGGAGTGGAAATAATCCACATTTTGAAAAGGACACACTCATATTGATTCAGTGTATCGATTATGTAATTTTTTCTCTAGGATGAAAATGTGAAAAGTGAAAATTTTTTGTATGCGTGTGTGTGTGTGTATATATATATAT